TTTTGATGGTTGGATCATAATGGTCTTGGTGGGGATCACCTTGAGTTTAATGCTATTTAGAGTTCATTAGCTTCTTGCATATGTAGATTCATGGTTTCATAAACTTGAAAGATTTTCTTCACTTTAGAAAGAAAAGAGGTTATTTTGGTTCATGGTTTTGGGGGAAGGAGAGTTCAGGAGCATGATATCTGCATCTGTGGGGCTTCTGGTGAGGTCCTCATACTACTCAACTCATGGTAGAGAAGTGGAAAGGGGAAGCAAATACATGCAAAAGGAGTACATGTGCAAAAGACAGCATATTTGGAAGGTTTTTTCCTTCCACATTTTTTATTGGTGCATTATAGTTGTATATTTGGGGGATTTTTGACCATTATTTCTTCAAATATTTTTTTTTTCTGTTCTTTTGTCTCTTTTCCCTCTGGTATTTGCATTATCCAGACTCCCACAAGTCTCTTAAGCTCTCTACTCATTTTCCTTCATCTTTTTCTTAATTCTCCTTAGACAGGATTATTTGACCTATCAAGTTCACTGAGATTATTTCTTGCACTTGCCCAAATCTACTCTTGTATCCCTATAAGTGAATTCAACATTTCAGTTATTGTACTTTTCAGAATTTCTAGTTGGTTCTTCTATATAATTTCTACCTCTCTATTGATATTCTCTATTCATTAAAACATCACATCTTGATTTCCTTTAGTTTTCTGAGAGAGTTGACTTAAAGTATTTGTCTAGATATTTCAGTGTTCAACATCTGTGCATCCTCAGGGACAGTGTTTGTTAATTTCTTTTTTCTTTTGAACCATACTTGCTTGTTCCTTTGTACATGTCTTAATTTTTGCTAGAAGTTGTCCATTTTTAATATTTTTTGTAAAAAAAAACTGTATTTGTCATATTGATATTTTGTTCATTGTTCTTTGTTTCTTTAGTTTAATGCTCTGACATTTAGGATGTTATGTGGTAACTCAGGAAATCAAATTCTCCCTACTGTCCAGGATCTATTATTGTTGCTTGTTATGGGCTGTGGCTTATAACAATGTTTTCGTAGTCATTTTTCTTTTCTATTTTTTTTTAATTTATTTTTTAAAAAAATATTTATTTTTTAAAAAAATATTTATTTTTTAGTTATAGGTAGATACAATATCTTCATTTTATTTTTATGTGGTGCTGAGGATCAAACCCAGTGCCTCAAGTAGATAGGCCAGTGCTCTACTTCTGAGCTCCAGCCCCAGCCCCAGCCCTAATTTAATTTTTTTAATATTCATTTCTTAGTAGTAGTGGAACACAATTTCTTTATTTTATTTATCTATTTTAATGTGGGGCTGAGGATTGAACCCAGCGACTTGCATGTGCTAGGCAAGTGCTCTATCACTGAGCCACAACCCCAGCCCTGCTTAGTCATTTTTCCAAACAATTTTTGAAGATAGTATTCTTTGTGGCCACTGAAGTCTTCATTCTGTTATCTCATTAGTTAGCCAGTGACCTGACATAGAATTAAATCCCTAGGGACAATTAAAGAAAAATAAAAACATTAAAGAAAAATAAAAAATAAATTGAGCATGGTGGTACAGGCTTGTGGTACAGCAACTCAAAAGGCCAAGGCAGGGCTGGGGATGTGGCTCAAGCGGTAGCGCGCTCCCCTGGC